GTTAAAAACAGACCTAAACTAAGAAATTGGTGTGAAGATCTACTGAAGGTTTAGAGCTAATCACATAGCTTTCTACATGGGTTTTTGGGTTGGTTGGTTGATGGGTTTTTTTATTTTTAATTGTAGAAGTATTGAACAGTTGCTCACAAAATAACGAAGGGAAGAACTCATCAACTGCCCACAAGGGAATTTAATCAAATCCTCTATCAATTTTATTTATTTGAGGTTAGTTACTTTAAATAAGCTTTGTAAAGTATTCCAAACCTCCACAAAAAAAAACCCAAAAACAAAAACCCAATCTGAGAAAAAGCTTTGGGACTGAGAAGCCAGCAAACTTTCCCAACAGCAGCGTTGGCAAGAGATCTGGGGCTGAGAGCTGGTGCTGGTGTGTTGAGAAACGCTGCTGCTGTTTTGGAGGGGCAGGGATGAGGATGCTCCCCCCTCCTCAGATGCTGTGATGGGTGGGATGTGGGCGGCAGCCGCGCTCTGCAGTCCCAGCTCCGCATCCCCCAAGTCCTCTCTGCGGTGGGGCTGCCACCAACACGCCTCTTCCAGGCAGAAATCCTCCCAGGCACCAGGTCTGCATTGCCCACTCCTCACTCCTGAAGGTTTTTCTCGCCTCGCCTTCCCTTCTCTCCTCGCCGTCCCTTCTTGCTGCGGGGGGCTGCGGCCCCCTCCCGCTGCCATTTGCTGCTGGCAGCCCCTGGTTGACAGAAGCTGATGATTGATGTCAAGGCTGGGAGCAAACAGCTGCTGATTTGATTATTACTGTTCCATCTCCTAACCTTTTGGAGCATTATGGGAATACTTATTCACCCTGTCATGCTTTCGTGGCATTTGGCGTGGTACTTCCCCAGGAACAATGGAGGAGTGGTGTTGGACAGAGGTAGTTTAGAAATTCCTGTTCCTGTTCTTTGTGTTTATTTACAGATATAGGGAGAGAAGCAAAGATCTTGCTGTATGGAGGAATGGAAAAATCATCTGTTTGACTGGGAGCAGTTACAGACATAGATGTGCAATATGTTAATAAAGTAATTGTGCTATGTTGCTATAAAGAGGATGGCTTCATTATAAAATTCTTGGTTTAATACTGTCATTACAGCAGATGTATAGCATATGAACTAATTTGCATGCAGATAAGGAGGCTCTGACAGCTTGGTAGCATAATTACTGCATAGCATACAGCTCACTAGTGCTGGGAGCTGAAGCTGTTACTGGAGGGGTGCTCATGGGACTAATTACATTGGCTTTGTTAAATTTAAAATAGTGTATAGCCAGGAAAGAGACCCTTCTCCTGTGCTCCATGCTGTTGTGCACAGTAAGTTACAGAAGCCTTGAACTGCTGCAGCCATTTTAAGCCATGCAAATGTCTGAATTTCAGCACTTCCCAGTGCAGTGGAGTCATCAGCTTGCATTTAACCAGGGTGCCTGTATCAACTTTCAAACAAAAGGTTTGAAAACTCTGATAATTCTGTATATTGAAACTCCAATTAGGTCCTTTGGATAAGTGACAGCTAGAGCTGCAGTAACTTTGTTTTGTTCAGTGTCTGATGGAAGTGGATGCTGAATGGGTGAACTCAGGTTGGTGAATGGATTCTCCACCCTCTCCCGGGTGCATCTATTGCCTTGCTTCATCACATCCATGTCTTTGTGATTTTTCTCCACTTAATTTCAAACATATTTCTGCTTCCTTTTTTTTTGTCTTCGCTTTGACTGTGCCTGAAGTTTTTAAATATCTTATTATTGAGGTTCCTTTATGGGTTTCAAAATGTTTAATTCATTACTAAGTCATTATAAACTGAAGGCATTTTATTTTCATGGGGAAATCAAGACAGTGCCAGGGAGATTATTTCCCCCCCTGCTACTGTCAGATTAGCTTGCAGAGAAGGGAGGAATTTGTGAATGCACAGTTGACTTTGATTATGTAAACTGGAAACTGGCGAACAGTATGGATTTATTTCAATTCCACTTACTTTAAAAAGAAGTACATATTAAATTTTAAGTGCCTGAGGGCACTAGACAAACAGGAAGCAGGAAGGGTGTATTCCTCCCTGACCTCTCCTGCAGAGCAGTAGGTGATGCCAGGTAGCTGGGCGAAGGGAGATGCAGGTTGTGCTGGAGGATGGTTTTGGGGAGGATGGGAAGGAGACAGGGGCTCATTTATAGCCAGGAGTGGGCTCTGTGCCCTCAGGGAAGGGAGAAGCTGCTGCTGGGTGTGGAGCACTGTGGGTTCTCTCTGGGATCCTGCAGGGATCAGCCAAGAGAAGTGCCCTTCTCCCCATCCTGTAGGAGACACGGCAGTGAGGTCCAGGTGCTGCTCAGACAGGGGCTGTGACACCCTGCTTCAATCAGCTCCCAGGAGCTTCTACCCCTGAACCCATCAGAGCCTGGCTCTCGTGCCAGGAGAGCCCTTCTCCCTTATCCTTACCTGCTTCCAGCCCCAGGATGGAGCTGGATGTGGAGCCATGCTCCTAAAAATAATAACAGGGGACCACTGGGACACTCAGCAACTCTGTCCCATGCCACGGGTAAGGACGTTGTGCTCCATTGCCTTAATTTCTTTATTTCACATTCCCTCCCTCAAAGTAAATCCTGCAACTCCCACTCATCCATAATACCCCCTGATAGACAAATATTAACTTACACGGTTTTTCTTTTGTGCTAAATATTTGCCCAGGTATTTTATTTTGCAAAATTCAAGCTCATCCTTGTATGATCTGCTTGCGTTTTGTTAATCTGAGAATATTAATAGCCTGCTGGCATTACTGCTAATTTGGAGTTTCAGCTGTGGAGTGAATATAGTAACAAATTTTTGGAATGGTTTGTTAATCTTATCAATGTTCATTATGTGTTTATTAATAGTAATTAGAGCCAGTCAGAGTGATGCATTTGGAATTTTTTGTATCAATCAAACAAGCATTTTTTGAGAGGATGATCATTTAATAGGAAATTTAGTGTATAAATATGTAAAAAATTAAATATGGTAGGAGAAACAATACAGGAAAACACTGAACTAATAGTTTTCACCAAAATTCTTGTCTTGTCTGTCTTGTCTGATCCATGTCCCCACCATCTCCCAAAGCAAATTAAAAAAAGGTGGAAGAAGGGAAAGACCTTATCCCTCTTTTTAAAAAAAAATACTCATTGAAACAGTTCCAATTGGGCTTTGTTCCATATATCAGACACTTCAAGGCAATTTTTTGCAGATTATTCAGAAAGTTTTAATATGCACATGCATGTTCCAGTATTTTTCTTCTTTTTCCTTCAGTTTTGGTGGTGAACTTGAGTTATTTCAAAGGGTTTTTGTTTATCAAAGGCCAGAAGGGAACACAGTTCTTCAGAAAATCAGTGCCATGTGCTCTCTTGGCTGGGTCTTGGTCACATAATCAAACCTTTCCATTGGTGTTGCTCACTCCTCCAGGTTTACATCACGATGTCCTTTTAGGACAAGTCCTGAATGAGTCCTTTGGGTCCTTGCAATCATATGAACAACAAAAAAGAGTAAGAGCATCTCTGAGAAGTCATGATTGGACTTTGTTGTTGTTTCCTTACCAACTCTGCTCCTCCGTTTATGCTCTTTAGGCCTGCTGTTGCCACTCAGGAAACAGATTATCCAGCACTTCTCCATCTTCCAGCCCAATCAGAGATTTCTCCTGAATCAGCAGTGTTTATTGTCTCCAACTGTACATAATTATGGTAGAGAGGTTGCACCACCATAACTGGATAATGTCAGCATTTCTATTACAGTGCCATACTTTTAGTGTCCTGAAATGGGGATATAAAATCTCACTTTAGCTTTATAGTCCTTCCAGTGGTGAGAGATAAGTGTGTGCAATCAGCCTTTAAGCAGTTAAAGAAACCCATAAAAAAAATTCCTCTTTGGGATGTCGGTTGTGTAAAAGCTTGTTACAAACTGGGGTTTAATGCACTTTTGCAAAACTATTAAGCACCTGAAGCTAGCAAACAGCCAAGAAAATATCAATAATGCACAAGCACAGAATGATCTGCAGGTTGCTGCAACAAAAGAAAAAAAATTAAATATGTGGGCTCCAGTTTTAGCAAGTCTGCCAAAATATTGTGAATATTTAAGGGTGAGGAATGACTCCTGCAGAGCTGTTCTACTCCAGGAAACATGAGTATACATATTAAACAACCTATTAGTACAGCTATATAAAAACCTTTTATATGTATTTAATCCTTTATGAAAATGGTACTTGACATGTGAGAGGTCAGCTTTTTGCAGCTGTTTTTCTTTAAGTTTTTAGTGGTATTTTGAACCCTTTTTCTCACTGCAGCTTGCGCTCCCTCCTGTTACCCCCCGCCCTGTTTGCAACATCATGAATTAAAGGTGGGAGGTTGACATTAACCAAGGGCTTCTGCAAAATGAAGCAGCCTGTTTTCTTTAAAACATTCAATATGGTCTTTTCCAAGCAGGAGAAGAGGGTGACAGTTCATCCCTGTTTAAGAACTTGGATAGAAGTTCTGCCTCATGCTCTGCTGCTTATCATATTCATGCCAGCAGAGACCAGTGATGATTGCAGTGCTCTCTCTGAGTTCTGACACACTTCTAATTATAGCATACACTGCTGTAAACTCCAGAGGTGATAATGAAGCCTGGACCCATGTGTCAGCAGAGCTTTGAAAGGGTAATGCATTCCTGTTCTGCACTACTGGTCCTTATTTGTATGTTTACAGGCACCCAGACTCCAGCAATGATGTCTTGCTTGTTTTCACTGAGCCAAGAGGTGAAACATGCAGAGCAGTGGAGATGTGTAATTTTATGAAGTTAATTGAGTATTAACTGTTTGCATGTTCTTGGAGAGATGCACAAGGAGAGGGGCAAGGGCAGGACGCTTTTCATGCAAGACTTTGTATAAACTTGTTGCCTGGAAAGTGTTGACAAGTCTTTAGCGCTTTGGTGTCTGACGACAAACTCGTTCCACTTCTGAGCGTGGGGTGTAGGAGATGAGTGACCCCTGTAAGCCAGGCTTACTTCTATTGCACAAATTCAGCATTCACAAAATCAGGATGTGCACAGAGTAAGGGAGGGACTGCGCTGTTGATGAGTTAGAAACTTGCTCTAGGAAGGTCTTGGTGAGTGATGAAGACTTTTTTTTTTTTTTTTTCCAGAAGTGATGAGCATAACTCTGCTGCTCTCTTATGCTTTCCTAATTGAGGTGTGAACTCATCATGCAAATCTTTACATATTCTGCTCTTTAATCTTAGCATGGGAACCAAGCTAGCTCTCAGAAAGAGAGGTAACCAACTTTGCCCTTCCTTCATGTTCTCCAGGCAGGAAAAAATAACCTTTCAGGCTTCAACCACTAGGAGCACCTTCATGTCTGGATGACCTGACAAATGAGTCCTACTTACTGCAGATGAATCAGCACAGTCTGTGTGACAGAATTTGCCTTCCATTTGTTTTGCTGGTGACAAGAAGTGTACCTTGAAGCAGATTATGAGGGTGCAGCAACTGGTGTCTTCTGTAGCCATTACTACTTAGTGGAAAAAGGAGATAGAAGTGGCCGTGTGGTTCAGTGTGGGAGGGGTGTCCCCATCTGAACTTCTCATCTGTCTTTGGTGAGGAGGTTGAATCCCAAGATTCAAGCTACTGATCTGACAGATCAAAACTTGACTTTTGTGGATGTGCTACCTGTGGGCCAAGGGTACCAGAAACACCTGTAACGTTGCAATTTCAGTCTCCAGGAGGAGCAGAAGTTGTCCCCTGGCAGGGTAGAAGCACCTGAGGAAGAGAGAAATCTAACTTAGCAGAGGTTTAACAGCTAATACACTCCCAAAAAAATTGGTATGTGTTAGGGGCAAATCTGACATAAATGAAATGATACAAAAATAATCTTTTCCTTCCGGTCTCACCTATTTCAGCCAAGAGAGGGACCGAAACCCTCTTTCCTAGAGAGGGGGAAATTGCTTGAACTGGTAAGAAGAAGAAAGAAAGAAAATCACCATGGTCTCCTGATGTGCTAAGCCAGGAAACTGCAGCCCTGTGCAAAGCTGAAAGTTGAAGAACAGGGGCCTTTCGGTTCATCCATGTCTTTTTGTCTTTCTAAATATGTTCTTTCAGTTGTGTGTTACCGGCTTTCATTTGCCTGGACCACGATCACCATTCCGCAGCTGTCTCCAAGGTTATAGAGAATACAATTTAAAATTAGTTGGTATTGTTTGAATGCTGCCTGCTGAGGGCTGCGTGAGGCGGTGCAGGGGCTGGGGAGGGCAAGGGGCGCTGGAGGTGAGGAGGGAGCACGTGGCACCGCGCTTATCTGCGTGGAAACACAACACCTCGCAAACTTTTAAACCCTTAATCTGCAAAGCGAGTTTATATAAGCCTGCGTGTGGAGGAGTGAGGGTCAGCGGGCCGCGGCTGCCCCGGGCTGGAGGTGAGCGGGGAGCGGGGAGCGGG